AAGTGTGACCTTATTTGGAAATAAAATGTTTGGAGATGATTAAGTTAAGATGAGATCATTAGGATGGACCATATTCATTACTGTCTTCCTTTTAAAAAGGGGAAATTTGGGCACAGACATGTGTAGATTCAGGCTGAAATCAGAGTGATGTCATTATAAGCAAGGATGACAAAGGATGCTGGGAAACCATGGGGAGCGAGAGCCGAGATGTGGAGTAAGAAGACCACAGCTGTCAGAGAGCCAATGAGACACACCTCTCATTGTAATCATCTGGCTTCCGGACCTTAGAGATACATTTCTGTTACTTTAGTTTGTGGTCATTGTTATCACAGTCTGGTGATACTATAGATCCTAAAATACAGATCCTAAAATAGCTCTTTGTTGCTTGGAAAGGATGATAATTAATGTTCTGGTCAACTTGCCCTGCCCGTGTATGCCTAAGTACTCAGCCACACACTATTCTAGGGTTTGGTGACAGTGTATTTGGGTGAATTTTGATTGGAAGATGGAGCAAATCAGGTGGCCCTCCCTAATATTGGTGGCTTTCATCTAAACCACAAAGGTCTAGGTTTAGGAAAAGGCAGACTCTCTTTCTGAGCCACTCTCCGCCCCCAGTTCAAGATGATGTAAATTGTTCACATGAGAGGCTGTCTGTGGAATACAGAATTTCCCCTGGCTGGTTGCCTTGAACTGGGACACTGACTTCTTTTTCCCTTTGCACCTAAACTGAAACCCTGGTCTCAAGCTTACTAGAGTTCAGACTAGATCTACATCAGGGACTTTCCTGAAGGTTGTGAAAATTGTCAGCCTCTAAATCACACAAGCCAATTCTTATAACTCTTTTGGATGTCTGTAAACATTCACTTGCCTGCACATCTATCTGTCTTAGTCTGCCCATCTGAAAAATTCTAAGACTCGGCATACATGTAAGATCTGTAACTCAGATTGAAGACCATGAACTGAGCTCTGTTCATCCCCCTACCGGTCTCTTCATGCACTCTCTAGCTCTGTACTCTTGATGATGGTCAAACCACTCGGCTTTGCTTGGGGTCATCATGGACCTTACTTTCTCTCACCAGTAGAGTCTTTCTCATTCGTGTTCCCTGTGTTTCCACTCTTATCCTTCAAGCCCAGTTTAGTCTTCTTAATTAATTTTAGAAACAGATAACTGTAAAAATACTCAGAAGCTAACAAAGCCAACTCAACCCTTGGCCTCCAAGAACTCCGTATCTTGTTGAAGAGACCAGTTAGCAAAGGAGACAACAAAACTCTAGAAACTTTCCAGCAGAAAGTTAGAAGCTGTGAGATACACCGACCATGGGAAGTGTTTTAGCTGACCCTCAAGTCTTTGATGTCATAGAACACGTATCACACCATCACACTATGGGCACGCAGAACCCAGGATGCTGGGCTACAGGATCTTTTTAAAGGCAGGGATGGAAGATGTATCCTAAACACAGGAAGCTTGGTAGTTTACATAGGGAGCAGAGACATGTTCCCCACACATCCTATGCTCTACTTTGCTGTAAGAAAAAAAAAATGTGGGGAGAAATGTAAAAGCTCTTAGCTATCGCTATGGGTTGAGGATTTGTTCCTTTACAGGCTCCTGTGACAGTTTGCTTGCCATTAAGACAGAGTTAGGAGATGAGGTTATTAGCCATGAGGGACGAGTGCCCTTATGAAAGGGGGATTGGCTCCTTTTGTTTTACCCTTCAACTTTTCCATATGTGGACATGGTAAGAAAATCCAGCCAAGTACCACACCTTAAACCCAAGTCCTCCAAACTGGGAGCCAATGTGTTTCTGTTTTTCTAAATTACACGGTCTGTGGAATCTTGTGGTAACCCCACAGAGTGGAATAGGATGTAAGCGTAAGTGAGAATACCAGAAATAGCACATTAAATAGGAATTTAGGGAGGAGGCTGACAAATCCTGAGAGTAGGACATGAGGACCAAGAGGCAAAGAATAAGAGGGGAAAGTGGCATGATAGAAAGCTAACCCAAGATGAACAATATGCAAATAAGCGCAATGCCAGGGAAAGGGAGCCTTGCAAAATGACCAGGGGTTGGGGTGAGGAGAGGAAGAAAGGAAAAGAAGGAGGAGAGTGAAAGAAAGAGAATATCTCAGAATGGAAGGACTTGGATTTCCAGATTGAAGAGGAACAGAAGAACCTCACACAGTGGGCACACGTGGACCCACACTGAGAGCACTCATGAGAATCTCACACACTGGGTGCACATAGACCCACACTGAGAGCTTTCATGATAACCTCACACAGTGGGCACACATAGACCCAACACTGAGAGCATTCATGAGAACCTCACAAAGTGGGTGCACACGGACCCACAGTGAGAGCATTCATGAGAACCTCACACACTGGTTGCACATAGACTCACACTGAGAGCTTTCATGATAACCTCACACAGTGGGTGCACATAGACCCACACTGAGAGCTTTCATGAGAACCTCACACAGTGGGCACACAGACCCACAGTGAGAGCATTCATGAGAACCTCACACACTGGGTGCACATAGACCCACAGTGAGAGCATTCATGAGAACCTCACACACTGGGTGCACATAGACACACACTGAGAGCACTCATAAGAACGTCGCACAGTGGGCACACACAGACCCACACTGAGAACTACCATGCAAACACTTCAGGACACTTAGTATAAAGGAGAAATCCTGATTTTCATGAAAGAAAATCAGAAGTAATGACAGAGGAGGGACCATTAGGTCAGAAAAGCATCAGCTTTCTCAATAGCAAGGTTGTAATCTAGAACACACTGGAGAGATCGCTTCCCAATTTTGAAAAAAAAAAAAAAAACGAGTTTTGTAGAATGACTTTCCAAGACAGCAAATAGGCCCCATGTGTTTTCAGCTGTTAAATGTTCCAAGAAAGTTTTGCCCCATGTATTCTTAGGAATCTAGTAGAGGATATGGCCACATTTAAACAAGGAAGTAGACTCAGAAGGGAAGGTGTGTGGCTTCCAGCCCAGAACAAAAGAAAGAGCTTCCCAGGATGAGGCTAAGACAGATGACCTTCTCTTGGGGTAGGGGCACCGGCCAGACAGAAGGACGTGGACTTCAGACAGTCCTCTCCAGGAGCACAGGAGGAGAATGCATGAGGGCTTTGCTTTGTTGGGTTTTGTTTTTGTTTTGTCTTCTTTTAGCTCTGCTAGATGTGAAGTTATGTGTGCATTTTTGGTAAGTGTGGGCACCTGTGTGCCTCTGTGTGCACGTAGTGGTCAGTGGAGAGCCACGGGTATCACTTCTTGTTTTCCACTTTGTTTGAGACAGCCTCATTATTATTATTGTTATAATTATTATTATTCATTTCATAAGCCAAGCTCTCAAGATTCCTGTAATCTCCTGTCTCTCTACCTTTGGTCTCTCTGTTGGAGTGGTGAGATTAGAGACATACACAACCCTGCCTGCTTTTACATGGGTATAGAGATTTGAAATCAGGTCATCGTACTGTGTGGCAAGTACTTTACCCACTGAACCATTTCTCCCGTCATTATAAAAACTGAATTATTTATTTAATGGTAACATTGTTATAACTAGGTTTAGATAATGGTACATGAGGATCAAATTCATTTCCAAGTAGGAAGTGTATATATCCATCTCGTGTGTGTGTGTGTGTAAGTATGTATGTGTGTGTGGTGTAACTGCTAATTGGCACTGGTTTTCTTTCGGGGGATGATAAAATATTCTTGAATTGTATAACATAATTTGTATACAAATCTGATCATATGATAAAACTACTTTGGAAAAGAAAACATTGTGCCACATGAATCATAAGCCAATAAACATACTATTAAGCGGGAGAAAACAGTATCTAATCCATGTCCTATGGTTGAGGGATACATGAGCTGATATATGGGAAGGGTCCAGTCCACAGCCTGGTATAAATATTAAAAGAGCAGTTAGCACCCACACAGCTTTTACTTTGTGACAAGCTGTTTTCCTACCACACATCAGCGAGTTTAATCCTCTCAACAAATGCACAAAACCGACACTGCTCTTGCCCCATCTTCTAGATGAGGATCTTGAGGCCAGTGAAGTGAGGTCATCTGTCTAAAGTCATGCAACCAGTTTGCCAAGAAAGTTGATCTTTGACTCCAGGGGCCCGATCTAGAACTTTTACTCGGCCACTCCACTGAGCAGGCATGATCTGGTCTAGGAGATTGGGGCCATAAGGATGAAGGACGATGCAGGTCTGGGTGGTAGATGAATTCAGGGAGAACAGGAAGGATAGAGGCAAGGCACAGCAGAAGCTGAGCTCAGTGGAGGAGGGGGCAGCAGAGACACAGGACATTCGGTAGAAGGATGGGATCCCTATCTGTGTGCAGGGCAGAAGGGAGTGTACTGTCTGCAGAGAAGCCCAAAACAATAAACTCAAAGTTTATTTTATTAAACTCCTTTTTAATCATCACAAGCAATGTTTAAACACCGAATGAAAAAAAAAAAAAAAACCAGACACAGCCTTGCCTGGGAAAGTCTGGTGTAATACCCCCTCCACAACTACCTACCCCTGGGTGGATTTTCATCACCGAGAGAGGCCGATGAAGAGATTACCATGGAGGAACCAGAATGGTGAAACCCAGGATGTGGCTCGAGGCAGTGACAGGTGGCCTCGGAGGACCAGAGCTGGAAGGGGCTGTGTCAACTAGGTGCAGATAAGCAATGACCTGCTGGGTGGCTTTCTTCCAGTGTAGGCACTGTCCTGACCCAGGTCCTTATTGTGACTGGAACCAGGTTCTAGCTGGAACGTGGCAAGTTTCACTTCTGCTCTCCTCAAATCTGTGCCTGCGTCCCACCATGCTGGCTCCTCAGCCCTCTCCTGAGCATTTAATTACAAGTCTCCCTGCACCAGTCTGTCTCCTCCCTGAGAGCAATGCTTGCACTTTATTTCTGTCCCCGTCTCCAGTTCTGTCAGATACTCATACACGAGAGGAACCAACGCACGAGTGTTTCTCTCTCTTTTACAGATTTCTCGGGTCTCCTGTGACCAGGCACAAGCACGTACAAAATGCTCCTGTTCTCTGTCCCCCAGGTAATCGAAATATAGATTGATTCCTTTTCATGAGGCGTGGCTGTTGGGTCTTTGCTCCATTCTGAAACCACAAGTGTGCAGAAGCAGACAGGCGGATGCATAGTCAGCACATGCTTTCCCCTTAAGAAGACTGTGGAGACCATCTGTGGGACTCTTCTGTAGAACCCTGAGTGGGGGCTGTTCCCAAGAGTGGAAGCTACCAGCATTTTTACTGCTGTATCATGCAGTCAGTCTTATATGAACAATCCCTGGATGTTTCTTTGAACAAAGTCAGGGCCTCCTGAATTCTCTCTGCCACTTACTAACTGGGATTCTATTCACCACTTCACTCTTACCTGCGACCTCCGAAAACAGTTGTCAGTTCTTACTAGGACCATTTCTAGAATGTTCTTTAGGATCAGATATAAGGAAGACTGAACCTTCTCCATGTCTTCCCATTCTTTAGCAGACCCTCTTTCTCAATAGGAGCCCTGTGGGTTTCTGAATACAAAGTTGCCTTATCAGGCTGATGAAGGAGATAAACTAAAAGACCTTTATCTTGGCATTAGACGTTAAGGCAGAGAACTTTGTAAAGAAACCAGGAAAGCCAAGGAAGTCTAAAGAGCACCAGAGTCAATGGAATCATCCTCCGGCTGGGCAGCAGTCACGGCTCCTAGAAAACACAGAAACCTGTAGAATCAGCAGGCATCTTCACCGTCTGAGCTGGGAGCTTAGCTGTAGCATGCATCCCCAAGGCTAAATGACAGCATCTCCATTTTTTTGTTGGAAGCATGCTGACTCCAGGAAATGTATAGATAGATGACTGTTGTCTGAAGGGATCCAGTCTGTTTGAAGGAATGATAGCTTCCTGTAGGATTCACCACTGTTCTTTACAGGAAATGTTTAAATAATTGAACTCTCTAATTGGGTTAAAGAGATCCTTAGCACATGGGTGTTCTATAAATAAAGGAACGAGTAAATAATATAGCAACCTTCCTCTATGGGCCCTGTGCTTAGAGAGATCATTTTGTTTTGTTTATACTGATATGATCATCATTAACAGAGTGGGATGGGGACTGGTTTCAAATGGGGTGGAGGAAGGTGGGAGATCTGATGGGCAGCCTCTCCCATGAAAATCCCTTTCAGTTTGTCTCAGGTACTTGACACCTTTTCCCTTAGATCTTTCATTAGAGATGAATAATTTGTTGCTTTTCCCAGATGAAAGTAGGTAGGCTCCTGAGTGTTGCTTTTAACAACAGGAGTCAGACAAAAGAGTTCAGCCAGGAAGCTGACCTTCGCTCCCTATCTGTGATCAGAAGGACTTAAGTAGCCCAGGGCCTGCTGAGGGAGACCCAGGGTTGGAGCGGAATGCTCCTAGAGAGGAGGAAGTGGAAGGTGGCTTCTGGATTTCACTGTGACCTGTTGTCAGGTGATTTGCAGGGGGAGGAGACATGAAAAAAAAATGTTGAGTAAAATGTCCTTATAAAGACAAAATCTATTTCTTTCCTGCCTGGTGATTTGCCACTGCAGTTACTTCCTGCCTTGTGACCACACACCCCTGCTTGACAGGGCTGCTCTGTAGATCTGAAGGACTGGGGTTTCTGACCACACAGCCGTGCTGCCACCGAGGACAGTTTCTCTACAAGGTAAACTTGTTTCTTGTCCCTTTGCTTGTTGGAAGTATTTGGGATCTAGTTGGGGCTCTACTGCTGGGTGCTATGGATTTTGTCTTGAAGGGGCTAAGCACCTGTCTTCTCAACCCTGTGTGCCTTGCCTCCATCTAACAGAGACCAGCAGCCACCTGGGGTGGCTGGGTGTGTGTGGGGGGTGTGGGGGGGGAGATGTGGGGTGTGATGTAGGGGACGTTCTCTGGCTTGGTTCTTGCCAAGTTCTCTGCATTTATCATTCCCATACCCCCCCCCCCAAAAAAAAAAACCTGAGTTACTTTTCCCCCTGTCTTTAAAGCCAAACCATGTTTTGATACCTGCCAGTTGCTCTATTTCAGGAAGGCTATTTACTCTGATTTGGTCAACTTTAAAATGTTTTCTGGAAAGTGCATATTGATCATTTAGACTGTGCTGCTAGTAATTCTAATGAGGGCGGTTTAATTTTAGCTTCTGTGGTTGTTTTTCCTTAAAAAAAAAAAACCATCTTCCTTAGAGTCCGTTAGTGGCTATGTTAACATCTTAAGTCATCTGTTACCAAATGTGGCCTAGCTATGTGAGTGATCTTTGACAATGAGGTTTCTAATGCCTGTGTTTTCTGACTACACAGAATAAGAGGTCTTCTCCATCCAGTCTCTAAAAACAAAAACAATTTGTGTTGTTGGCTTCTGCTATTTCCTGTAGGGCTGTCTGGATTATTTGGTAATACAAAGGAATGCCTCCTTACATGCTAGAGAAAAGACCCTGTCCACAAAGGGAATTCTTTTAAATGGTTGAAGCATACAGCTTCAAAGTATTGTAGTGTCTCTCAGCTTTTATTCAGTTAGCGGAGTCAGCCAAGCCCAGGACAGATAATACACAGAAGCTGTCCAGCACACATGCTGAACACCAGTGTTTCTGACTGTCGGAAACCACTCTGGCAGGACAACTTAAAAACAAGAGCAGAAGCAAAAGTCTTCATAGCAAAACAAATGAAGAAAAAATTAGTAAAAACAAAACAAGGAAAGCAATGCAGTGGCTAGTCAATATACACCTTGAGGTCAAATTTACAACGAATTTACTATAATTGGCTTCTAGTAAATGAACTTTTTAAAAAGGATGTCTGCATAGCTAAATTTAAGTGGAATTCACCATTTTTCTATAAAGGTGACTTTCTGGAAGTTTTGGAGTCCGACCATTAATCACTTGCAGTACTCACCTGGCTGGTTTCAACGTAGAAAAACAAAACAAACCCCCCAAAACAGTGAGATCTCTGGAGGAGAGGCTTAAGGCCCAGAAAATACTGGGGGTGGGGGTGGGGGGGTGGAAATGCACTGCAAATATTTTCATCAGAGATAGTAATGAGAACGAAATAAATAAAGCTAGGAAGAGATGTCAGTATTTCCCTCCTTACATTTGGGAAGGAATAACACTGAATATGGCAGAGTTAATATCAACCACGTTTGGATTGCTGAAGCATCCACCTGCCATGCCACCAAAGCAGTTTCTTAGTCATGGCAGCAGCACGCGGGAGGGCTCTTCCGGGCCTCAGCACTGACACAGGTTTTACAGGGGTCGTTTATGAAGACATCGTTAGCCGTCCCTGTCTGGTAGGACTGTTTTAAACTTCATCTCGTTTGTATTGTTATACCTTGCAACAGTCAGTATTGTTGGGAAAAAATCCCAGTGTTTTAACCTGATTGATACTTCTACCTTGGAAACTTTTGGAGAAGGATAGCAAGCATGTGCATTTAAACTAGAACAGGAAGAGGATCTGTGCAGAACCTTAAAGCTGCACATGCTTAGTGCACTATAATTTACAACAGTGTACGATGTGTAAATTGCCGTATTGTATCAGCTAGAGGGGTGGTAAGAAGGAAAATGTCAGTGTGTATTCTGTGCACGTCCAACTTTTTTTTTTCTAGAACAGGTTTCATCTGAACTTGATTGAGTTTGTGGATACGGAATGTGTAGAGCCGGAGAGCGGGCTGCCACAACTTTTAAGTGCTTAGTTTATGTAGCCACATGATCTCTTGGAATCCTCTCAAGTGCCTTGAGCTATCAGGAGTGGGCTGTTACCTATGGCCCAAGGGCATAAGGGTCAGGGTGAGGCAGGAGTTGGTCTGGATTTCAGGTGCTCCCTGATGGTGCTGGCTCCGGGGCCCACCTTCTGTGGAGCATGCCGGGAAAAGCTTTCACCCTGGAAGCAGATCAGAGAGCCTAACACAGGTGTGTGTGTGTGTGTGTGTGTGTGTGTGTGTGTGTGTGTGTGTGTG